ACTTTTCCCAGATCTCCGACCATCCGGCACCACTTTCCCGGTTGCTCTCGTGCTTCCGCAACAGAGCATTGTAGCTGCATCTGTCCGTAGTTGGAGAACGCAGGCTGACGGCACTACTGACGCTCACAGATCGCTGGAAAAACCTAGATCCCGTCAGTTCGTCGGTGGGTGAAGTGGGAGTTGCTTGCAGGTCACCAGACCATGAGGTTTGCATCAGATTGGATAGAGAATTACTGCCCTGGGGCAGAAGAGCGGGTGCCTCAAGATCCAGCTCGGCGAAGGAGCTGCTGTCCACTTGACGGTTGGATTTTTTGCGCGACCTCGCTTTACTGCCCGATGGAGCTTCCTGCTCTGCCGTTTCAGTCGCTTCCGCTTTGTCACTGCCTGTTTGCTCCTCGTTTATCACGTCCATTTCATCGAACTTTTGTATTAGCAGGTCCAGGTTCTCCCGCTGGGTAAGTTCGGGAACTCCGAAGTTGCTATTCCTGCCAAAGGGGCTATTCGAAATGGAATCTGAGAACAGCTCATTGGTCTGCAGGGGCTGAGGCGTCGGTATGGCTATGATATCGGAGCCAAGCGAGCTGGCCACGTCAACTCCGCTGCTAATCTGTAATGGTATACTCAAATTAGTCCACATGTATTGAAAGACGTACCAGGAAAGACACATGGCTAGGCTAGGAAGATCATACCGGGCAGGACTTAAGAGCAGGTGTCCAGAGATCAGAAAGCTGCAGGGAGTAGTCGGGCCACTGGTTCAGCAGGCTGGAGTTCACTGGCAGATCGAATTGCACATAGGCCTCCAAGCTCTCCATAATCTTGGCGGCCGTCTCCAGACCCTCGGAGTCCCTGATGAGGGCGTTCCGCTTGTAGTACTGCGACAGGGCCGATCCGTTCTTGCGCATGTTGTTCAGATAGGAGGAGAACACCGACTCGTTGAGCGACTGGCGCACCCAGGCGCGGCACTGTCCCGTCTCCGAGGTGATCTGGCTGAGGCCCTGCACCTGCTCGATCACCTGCTTGTGCATGAAGACCATGCAGGGCGACCAGAAGCTGGGATCCGGCCTGCGTTCCACATCGCCAGCGATCACATTGAAGGTGGCGGACAGGAATGAGTCCTTCAAGCCGTGCAGGAACAGGGCCTCCAGGGTGGTGCACAGGGCACTCGTCTGTTCACATAGTCCCAGTACCTCTGCAGACGAGGATTTACAGAATTCAATCAATTTCCATATTCGGGGGAGTACCCAGAACTCACCTAAACTCTTCTGCTTCACCTCGAACTCGATCTCGCGTGCATTTTCGTTCAGTGTATTTATGAGCGCCTCCTTCACGACATTCTCCCGTTTCGACGAAAAGTGGTTCAGGCTGCGGAACAGGGAGCTCATTTGGTTGGCGATCCGGACCTTTTGTTGTGGTTTTCCGAGGGTCTTTGGATATTTGCACTGAAGTAATCATCCCCAAGGTGTGACCGCATGGCAGCTCCAAAGCAACAAAGAAAAATATACCAGAAAGACGTTAGTGTAATTAGGAAATGCAATCCGAATTTCTCAGTATTTACAAAAGCATACTTTCTCTATTGAAGCCTATGCAGTTTTATTCCAGTTTAATGTAGTAGTTTCGAAGCATAATCAGAAATTAGTAGAATTTTACAGAGCCCGCGATCTCTACAAGTTATCGATAGGCAATACTTTTTGAAATCCTCGAGCTGCATGGCCACTCTAGAGCTTACGGTGGTCAAGTATGACGTAGTTTTGAAATTCTCAACGGTTTTCACTTAAGTTAAAAATAAATTATGTTTTTAAGTCCGCCAGCCAATCAAGCTACATGCATTAAAATCTGCACAAATGCGCGCCAAGGCAATCAAAAAGGTCAGCTCTTTGAGACTTCGGCGCGCTAAGCTACTCAAACCCGTTCTGGTTATTCTTGACTTTCTTCTCAGATCAAATCACAAATCTCGGCTTATGTGTGAATGCTCGATTATGAGGAAAAAACCCCACGCAAGCTAGCAAAAAGTCACAGCGAAACCGTCAGCGAGTCAGAATATTAATTGATTTCGCTTGGATCTTTCCTATCGCCCCTTGTGATTGTCTTGTTATTGTGTTTTGGGTATTTTCGGGTTTTGTTCCAATAAACCGTCATATATTGTGTGAGCAAATGACTCATGCAGATCTCTCGGTCGCCGAGGAATTTTATTAATGAAAGACCATCCCGACTGGGGGAACCAGAAAAAAACCCAGGCACGCAGTCAGTTGATATAATACTAAAATTAAAATTTGTGTTAAGGTCACGGTGACCAACAAAAGCGACTTTATGTATATACATGCTTGTTGTTGTCAACGCATTTTTCAATATTTTTGCAATAAAAACGTTGTTGTTTTTACAGAAGATGCGCCTTGTCTTGTGGCTGTGAACCAACTGGTTCAGCATTCAAAATGCAAACTGGTCTCAGCCGCCAATTTGTTTGACTGTTCGACTGTTTTCGGCGTGGTGTTGGTTTTCGAAAACACATTTTCCATGTGGGCTGTGCATTCAGCAAATTGCATTTTATTGAATTTTATTGATACGAAACGGGTTGCCAAATCATTAATAACATAAACAATTTGGCAAATCAGTAATTGCGCGAGTTGTTTCGTTTATGGGTGGCATTCTTTTGGAATGATGTGTTTTCGTTCAAACCTGATAAACAATTAGTGTATCAGGTGAAGCTAACTTTGTGTAAAAAAACAATCAGATTTGAATGTATGAATACAAACCTTTTAAGAGGGGATATTTATCTTGGGATCTTCTCATGAAAGTTGCTTGTTGCAAAAAAAGCTACCAAAACAGAGCATTTAAGTTTGAAATTTACATGCTTATATACTCGGGCTTCCCCCTTCCAAACAATATATAAATATATATACATATATAAGTCGGATTTCGCATGGCGAAAAGCCGTTGGAGTTTGTTGTGCGACATTAATGACGATAAACAATTAATAAGGCGCTTTGGGTGAAGGGTGAAGGGTCGCGGCGACATTTCCCAACTGCGCCGACTCTATTAAAGTAAATAATATGTGGCGCTTTGTTGCTGCTCTAAGCTGACTGTGCAGTTTCCAAGATGCCAGCGTGTTGCCATTGTTGTGGCCAAAAGGCCGAAAAGCCAAAAGAAACGAAACCAAAAGAAACGAAGCGGCCTGAAATGTATAAAAACGTTTGTTTTCGTAATACAATTTTGATTACTTCTTCGACGCCAGCCGCCCATTGATGGGCATTGTCTCAGTTGGACCCCTTTGTGCGTCCCTAAGCGATTTGATTTATGGGCGGAGGAGCTGGGCGCCCAATGCCCCACTCCACTCACCCCGCTCCACGACTCCAACAGCGCTACCGTTGGCCATTTGCCGGGATCGCGGTCCATTTGGCAATAGCTTTGTTGTAATTGTTACACTAATAACAGCCGTGATTCCCGACACCACCAACCCACTGGGCAATCACCGACTTCGCAGTGGCGGCAGGGGCATGAACCTGGGGGCATTTCCAAATACAAAGGCCTGTAGAACTCATCACTTATTAGGGCTAATATAATATGCTCAGATATAATAGGTACTGCGGTATTTAAGGTGCAATTTATGTGAACCCCTTATACCGAATCTCCCTTCCCCCAACCTACGCCCATTTGGACCATCTGATGGGGCTAGGAAACTGGCCCTTTGATCGTCGAAAGCCAAATGCCGGTACAAATGCTCAAATGCGGAACCAATAAGCTGACATAATTTTTTGTGATGGGCGCTGAAAAAGAAGATTTGCCCGGGCCAAATGATAATTACTTTCCAGAGACATCCGAAGATATGGTCATGGTTGGCTTTCGAATGCGATCATTAACGCATTTCAGTTGGAAGACCATAGAAGATGGTTGTTCAAGGACGTAACAGAAATCGATCGTTGCTACTAAAGCAGGATATTATTGAGTATATGCAAAATAAGAAGAGAATTTCGCATGGGCCATCATAAACTGGATGCCTTAAGATCACGAGGCGCGATGATCTAATCACCGGTCGCGTCAATAGTCGGGCGGGCTGAAATGCCAAAAGTTCATCGATCACTGACACCTCCGACCAACTCAACGCATCTTTACCGATCTGCCAAAAGTCTGATCCATCAGTTCTCTGACTCAGGCCAGTCAAGAACCCAGTGCACTGGGACAGGCTGAAACGGACAAGTTTGAAATATAGTATTTAATTATTGATATGGAGCTGAGGAACAGGATCTGGCGGATCTGAGGCACATGGAACGCATAACTTATGCATTGTTAGCATAATACTTTTCCGAAAATCAAGCCAAACCTGTCAAAATAAACAAACCGAACGGAGCACATTCGTTTTCAATATCCATTTGCATTTCGTGTGTGTTTAATTTATGCGAAAGTTGTGTCTATTTGGGGGGCGATTTGCTATTGTCTTGTAAATCATTTGGCGAGTAGCACTAATGTTAGGCGACTGTTAGCTGAATGTTAATATTAACCCCTTGTATCAATTATTCGATTAGGCATGTATATTATTTATTGTGATAGATATTCGATCATTTCATTAATATGTACATATATACGGCAGAAATTGAAACAAACTAATCTCTATGGATGCCAGAAATATTCGCAGTCTATATGCATTTTGGCGGTAATACCCAAGTTGGCTTAGAGGGTTAATATCTGAATCCGATCATGTCGCTAGGCTGACCTTGAACGTCATTGGCAGTGCGTCAAAGTGTGGCGCGAAACCAGTATGCAAAAAAAGTTGATCGCCGGGGCAATTAAACAAAACAATTTTGCACTTTTTTCCGGTGGATAGTAGTACGCAAGAGGGTTGATCAGAAGGCCTGAAAAGACGGGGGGTGTTGACTTAGCCTCTTGCATAGATAACGCTTTCTGGCCTTATCGAAATTCCCATTTTTCCCAACTTATTTACCCGATCCTCTGCCGCCGTCGCAGCCGGCGGCGCTGCCGGCGTCGCGACTTCAGCCAAGTCGAGCTTGGAGCAGCGGCTCTTGGCCAAGTTTATTGAAAGCGCAGAATCCGTGAGCTACGGACGTGTTTCGCTCGAGCGCATCGCGCATCTCCCAACTTCGACCTACGATCTCCAGCTCTCTCGCTCTCTCGCTGTCTCGCTCGCTCGCTGGCACCCTCTCGCTCGCGCACCGAAGTGATCGTGATATCGTGCCGCGGATTTTTCTACCGATTGAGATTGAGAAAAGGCGGTGAAAATATTACACATTTTAGTTGTCGCCTGCGATTTTGTCATCGCGATTTGATCATTGTTGGCCGGATCGACGGCGCCTACGCGATATAATTCTATCCCCCTTGGCTTGCAGGGCAATGCCCAATTCCAAATAGTTAATTGCGTGACAAGTTCGAAAAAGGGGTTAATATACAGAAATAATACGAGAAGGAAACCCAAGCGCGAGGCTCCAGCTCACCCACGAGATAATGCAGATCGATCCGAAGCCACGATGCGGTGGCAGCGTGGTTAGCTTTACCGTTGTGCTGCTGCTGATCATCGGTGCCGACTTCGCCGCTGGAAGGCCTGGTATTAAACTGAAGCAGTCTATATAGATATAAACTAAGGCGATTGCAATTGCGATTGCGCTACCGGATCGCATATTCAATTTGCACCAGCATGCGAATCAGATTTCTGAATCGGCGATCCTCTTCGCCTTTTTTCGCTCTTATTTTCCTCTTTCTATTTGCGGTTACGTTTTAAATGTTATGTGTGCTTATTGCGTTTTTTCTGGAAGAAGCTACAAGTTTACGGGTGACATACAAAATTATATATTTAACATATAATGAATATATGGCATAAATATTATGCCAGTCAAACCGGATCGAAAACATTACCATTTATTAATATTCTATGACTTCTACATAGATCAGCACACCCATAACTTTGAGCTTCTTCCTGACGTTGTTATCTGTAACTAATTTTAATATTTTATTTCAATCCTACTAAGTTTTACTCTGAACTGATCCCGAGTCCCCCTCCCCCTTCCCTCACTCTATGAATATCTGTTAGAAGTTCCGATTCTTCACCCACTTTACGCATTTACATCTCACCTCACCTGCATTTGCATTTCCAAAACTCACGCGGTGCACAAGTTCGAGCTCACCCCACAGTAGACTTCCATCGTGATCGTGATCATGACCCACATCGGTTGGGAGCAAGTGCTATCCCCCAGCTAACAACTAATGACAGTTGCACCAACGGAAAGTCAGTGGGTCAGAAATCAATTGAAAGAGATAGTTATATTTACCAACACGTTGTATATGGACGTTCATATCTTCATGCCAGTATTCCATTGAGGATTCCATCCTCGTCTCAGTATTCCATTGGGTACTAAAGGATCTTAAAGAAGTAATTTCATTGCCCTGTTTATTTTTGTGAAGTGCATTCTCCTGAATGCCTTCTTGTCCCATTATGCATGCAATTAGCCTTCGCCGTTGAAGAGCCTTATAAATGCAGCCTTAAGCTGTTTTTGTTTGACAAACAAGCTGAAGAGCTGGGCGCCGCTCATTAAGTTGCTTTTGGGCTAAAAACGAAATCAGGTAGCCGCTGCAAAAGCAAACAGCGAGGTTCCCAAAGGCAAAGCCGTAAGAAAAACGAAATTCGAGAAGAGCCGATGTGAAGAGGCCCCCAAGAAAACCCAAAACCAAAACTGAAACTCAAACTCAAACCCAATCTCAAGACGAAACCGAAACCCAGAGCTCCAGCAAGTGGGGTTACGTAAGCTGAAGATAACGTGACTGGCAAGGCTTCGGCAAAGTCGCTGTCGATCCGTCTTCCTCTTGGTGTTTTGGGGGGTTAAAGGAGGGGTTAAACGACCTCTGGAATGGACTCCCTTGGGGAGTAGTCCATGTAGTTCATAAATTTGGCGACGCTCTTGTCTAGACGATCTGTTAACTAAGTTGTTTACACCAACTAGAGACTAATGTGGTGGCGCTCTTTTTGGGTCATGGGGCCACAAGCAAGAAACTGTGACAAAATACGGAGGATTTCGAGAACGAATGTACCAGAAACAGTTTTATCTGTTTTGGGCAAAACCCATTGACCAACACGTCATGTTAATTGGCTACTAGCTATTAAAACAAATGCATAAACTTAGAGCTCATTTACGGCACCCATGATGGAAATATCATTGAAGCTTAATGGTTTTCTTTGGCACGAAATAGTTATACTGGTATTTCGGTCGCGGTTTTCATTTTCGACAATCAATGAACCCATCATAATGAATGGACCCGTACGTGATAATTAGCGAATTCGCACGGATCTGAAATGGGGAATCGTGTCTCACTTTCGCGTGCCTTGATTTATGATTCAGTCGCAGATTATCGTAATTAAAACACAATAGGATATCAGCCAGTTATGGATATAGATGAAGATATGTAGACACATGAGTTGCGGCAGTTTGATTTCGACATGACCAAACTATTGCGAATTTATCAAAGGCAGCCGACACATTCCAATCTACGCGTATATACAAGTAGAAGCGATTCTGGGGCCATTCTAAGCCATAAATATTTATTCATTTATGGGAGAGTTCGGTTTCCGTTTCAGTCAGCTTGCCCCTTGACATTTTTGAGCCAATCATAATGAAATCACAATTCATATGGCGATTTCAAGTGCAATAAACACATTTTGCTTCGCATCAAAGTATAATTTACAAGTTGGGATTGTGTTTTGGATTTGGCACGGCATTTGACACATTTCGTTAGCCGTTTCTGTGTGGGATGACAACCCAATATGTCGATAACTCCAAGGCCTGCGAGATGATATAAACGAAGATTAATAAAAATCCATTACAATTTATGTTCGCTGATTCCAGCGAAGGTTGGCCAGGCACAGAAACATGTCAAAATCAAGAAGATGGTAAACAAACTGTAAAATTGGCAAGTGCAAAATGTTTTCAACAGAAATACCCATTGTCTTAAGGTGGGTGCAGATGTCGTGAAGCCGTCAATCAATTAAAAATTAAATTCAATAAACATAAACAGTGAGGGAGATGGCGATGGTGATGGAGATGGCGATGGAGATGTCGATGCGAATGAAGATGGCGCTGGAGACAAGCAAAATTAATTGGCCTGAACTTGAGCCGCGTTTGCGGCGGAAGTGCGGGGAATTTCGATTATTTCGGCATAATCCGATAAATAACACTTTCGGCGGCCAGCCGTGACGCAAATCATCTTCACTATCTCTGAGCATTCAAGTTCATGAGGGGCCGAGCTGCAGGCGAAAGTTCAGGGCTTCCTGATATGCGGCCAAGCCCGTCCGTCCCAAAATGCAAATGAATCTCAATTGCTCGTGGCCATAGAATAGAGATATGCACATGTGCTTAACAGCCGGAACTGACTTGGCTGGCAAATTCGAAGCAACGCCCACTGCGATCTGGCTTAGTCACATTCAAGTTGACCGTAGAGCAGAAACGGCATTAACAGAATTCCCCAACGCCAGCCTAATTAAAATATTCCACATCCACATATACAGTATAGCTACAATTTATTCAGTTATTCCGCTGCAAACAGGAATCGAGGCGCAAATCAGAAATCAGAAGCTGGCTGAGAATCTTTCAGATATCAAGGAAATTATTATTAATTATACGAGCATGGCACGAGCGCTGCACAATACCCACAGCTAAAAAATAACAAAATCGTTGTCAGTGCAATCATTAGCCATTAATTCGGTTGTTGTTGCTGTCAAAGTCAGCTGTCACATGGGTTCCCCGATTCCCAGACTCCCAGCGACAAAACAATGAGTGTTCATTTGATAAAACCCATTCAACAATAGCACAGTGCGTTTCAAGAGTGTTAGGCTACGTTTGCACAAAAAGAGTCACAAATGTGTGTTGATTAATTACTTATCTTTTTCTCGTAAGTGGACTTGTCATATAAAATGAACAAAGAAATGTCTGAGATTTTCAAACCACGATTTCTTAATTAAGATATTAAATTGGCGAATTGTCGCTATTAGGTTGAGTTATTGTTTAGAGTTTCATGCTCGGAAGACACGAAACGCACAGTATGCCTGGAGCCCTTTTGCTTGATTCCAGTGACCAGCCGAAACGAAAGACTTAGGCAACGAACTTGATGGTTGCACACCTGTCACACCCACACAAGCACACACACACGTACACTGACTAACCTGCCTGGGTAACTTTTAAAATTGAATTTTATCTGGTGGCGGACCTTTGTGTAACTAACAGTAACCACCGCACACCAGCCACACATCACAACAACCGCAGCAGCATCCAGCAAGCCGAAAACCAAATGTATGGCCCATCTCAGTCAATGTCAATCAATCAGCCGCCGCGGCAGCCAAATTGCCCAAGAGCCGCCCACAGCTGCCTCATCTGTCACCCAGCCACCAGCATAGCCACCGAAAGAGCTCCTCACCCACCGAACAGCATGCACCCAAATGGGAATTGAAGTTCGACTTAAGTTTAACTTGAAGAGAGCCCTTTTGCTAGGAAAACATTTACTAATTGCTAAATTCTCTTAGTACGAAAGCTGAGGAAAACTATAGTTTCAACAGTGATTATTTAAGATACACTTTTCATTTGATACTATATAAAATCTGTTATTTAAATGCAGCAAATTTGTATTATTATTTTGTTTTGGAATGAATACTTAAAATCAAAAGAAAACCATTTGCAAATGCATCAATACATTCAACTTCTGGAGTTCATAAATGGAGTTCAATTTAATTAGGAATACACTAGTTTAAAGTTACTTGTACGGAGCTGTCATTTATCGCTTTCATTGAATCTCTCATTGTGTCACTCTGTCATATTTTCCACTTGCTACTTCCACTTGCTATCTCCACTTGCCACTTCCACGCTTTTCCAACGTTCCAAAGAAGCAGCCGCAGCCACAACGAGACCCAACACATTCTGCTCCCCCTCCAACAGATGTGCGCGAGTCGCCCTTCGCCCTCGATCTGCAGCCTCCGCTGCTGCAGCCGGACGTGACCTTCAGCTCAGGCCAGGGGGGCGGTGCCGGGCCGAAGGCCATCGACAGCTACGGCAACCCCATCGACTCCCTGCGACCCATCGACACGCCCGACGGGCGCAAGGTGGTCAGCGCCCAGGGCGTTCAGTTTGAGATACCCACCTATGCCTCGGGAATCACGGAGATCAGGCGGCCGGCCGATGATCTTCTGCCGCCACACATTGGTGAGTTGACATCCACGCGAGCAGCGGCTGCCAGCGGTGCCACCAGCAGAACGGAAACGGAAATGAGGACCAGGACGATACACGAAACTAAAGCTAAAACTAAAACTGAAACCAATGCCTCGACAGCACCGCACACAACCAGTAGTCGTAGAAATAGTATAAATAGCACTAGCACCCGCACCGCACTAGCCGCACCCATTAGCACCACTAACAAGCTGGCCAAGCGCGAATCGCTGGGCGGCCAGTTCCCCATTGCACCACCCAGTAACCGCCACGCCCCACCGCCCTTCTCCCTGATCAAACTGAATCCCTTTGCCGCCCTGGACTCACCAATCACCCAGATCGGTTCCCAATCGAATACAAGTCCAAGTCCAAGTCCCAGTCTCTGTCCCAGTCCCAGTTCCAAGCACAGTCCTATAGCCAGTTCCCGAGTCCCAGCCACAGCCCCAACCAACGCGAATTGCTCGAAATACTCAAATCCGAATCCTCTCCAATCAGATGCCATCGCTGTGGGCCTGGAACCCAGCACCGATCAGAAACCGAATCCGAACTCATTTACTGGCACAGCATCAGCATCTGCACCAGCACCAGCACCACTTCCAGCTACATCACTAACACCGCCCCTCCATGATCCACCATCACCCGACACGACGACCACCGCGGATGTGGAGGTGGAGCAGGCGCACCTGGTGCCGCTTCCACAGGAGGAGAAGGACGTGGGATCTCTGCCCGATTTTATCCGCGAGCTGCAGCGCGAGGATGCCAACATTGGCGGTCCTGTGGAGTGGAAACCGGCTGCCGATGGAGCTCCGCTTAGTGTGATTGCCTGGGATCTGTTGCCACCGCACCAAGAGCTGGATAATCAGCGCCAGGAGGATCAGAAGCAGGCTCAGGAACCCACTATCATTACTGAGGAGCATCAGCAGCCAGCTAAGAAGGTGCAAGGCATTGTGGATCCTATTAGTCACAACATTCGCATCAGTCTTAGCAGCGGCAATGGTTTAAGCCCAGTGGCACCCACGGGGCACCTCCACAACGATGGGCCGGCTGATCACGGCACCAATGCCCATGTGGGCACAACCACAACCAGCAATCCGGGTCGTTTCCCAAACCGCCAGAGAGGCACAGCGCACTACAGCACCACCAGGAGCAGTAGTACCACACTAAGACCGCGCAGCAGCACCACAACCACTAAGCCCACAACAACCACACCTAGGACGACCACAACCACAGCTAGGACCACCACAACAACCAGGAGAACCACAACATCTAGCACCACTACAGTGAAGCCGGAAACGCGGACAGCCAACCCGGTAGTCAGTACTATTGGCACGACCGAGGATCCATCCACCTTCTATCGGCTGGACAACGAGGAGGCGTATGCCTACACTCTGCCCACGTGGCTGCAGGAGGTCACCGACCCGGATCTGGATGTGGCCGTCACCTTTGAAGTGCCCACTGATAATGATCAGTACAACCACACGCTGGCCAACGATTTGGAGCCACCATTTGAGCCCTTCATAGATCTGGGCAACATTCAGCTGACTCCACCACCCACTGACAGGCCAACCACCACTAGCACAACAACCACGACAACTACCACCACGGCGGCACCAACAACGACAACCACAACCACAACAACAACGCCACGAACAACGACAACCACAACCACAACCACTCGGCGCCCGAGCACGCAGCGAACCACCAAAGCACCCATACCACCCACTCACAGCACCCAAGAGCACCCAGATCCACCGCCAGTGAAACTGACCACAACCACCACCCACCACGCAGATAACACGCCGGAGGATTCGAGCAGCAGCGGCAGCAGCAGCACCACCACTTTCGTCAACACCACGCCAAGCCAGTTGGATGAAGGCAACCCATTCGATTCGGCCACCATTCCCGCCTGGCTGCGTGACTTCGACTATCCGGATGTCGGCCCGGGCGTGCCCTTTGACCCAGACAATTTTGGAACAGCGGCATCCAGCAGCACCCGTAACCCCACCAGTCCGCCGCGTCCCCCCACCGTCCCGCCCGTCTCCTCCGCTTTTCCATCCAAAGTCACGCTTCCGCTTCCAGGCAGCAGCATCAGTAGCAGTAGCAGTAGCAGCGAGAAACCACCACTGGTACTCGTTCCGCCCGCTGACCGCTCGGAGGCCGCTTCCGGTTCCGACTCCCACTTCGGCTCCGTCTCCGTCCCCAATCCCGGACCACTGACCGATCCCACTTCCAACTCTGTAACGCCTTTTGCAGCCCGCTTCGAGCCATCGGCCAGCAGCTCCAGCTCCCAGAGCGTTGAGCCCTTCCCGCCCAGCAAGGTGGAGTACACCAAGAGCGACGAGGGCAAGGTCATCAGCACGCCGGTCGCCAACAATCAGCGAAAAAGTGAGTACAAATGCAGGCATACAACCTGATCTACGTGCCACAGCTAAATGGAAGACCACTAAACACATGTTTTGTTCAACAGCGGAGAATGTGGCACCTCCAGCCAGCAACACTGGAAAGTACACGGGAGGATTTGGGGCACCGTCGGGGCTACTGCGCCCACAGTCGACCAATCCCCATTCAGGTCCCAACACCGACATCTATGTGGCGGGCAATCAACACGAGTTCAGCACTATTTTGAAGGAGAACAAGGCGCGACCCACCGTAAATCCGGGTCGCTATACCGGTGGTTTTGGGGCGCCCACGGGAGTCCTTTCGCCCCAATCCCCGGCGGAGCCACGTCCCTTCCAGCCAATTAACCAGCGAGCGGAGCACAGGGAACATCCATCCGGCGGCAACAGGCGGACGGACAGCCGTTTTGGTGGACCACCCGGCATCCTCGTGCCCTTCGACAACGTGCAGCGAACTGGGGGGCAGTAGAAGGCAGTCCCGGAGTCCGCAAATACTTTAAATTATTTATAGCCCATGTACATGTACCTATGCTAGAGCTAAGTAAGTAACTGACCCGCGGGTCGCCACAATACTTGCGCAATAAAAAGTCTCGGAACTATATAGTCGAATCCTACGTAACTCCACACACTCGTACTTATCGTACCATACGTACCTATGTACATGGTTCACCGTGGAATACAGATCAAGTACGGGAGTGGAAGTTCGATTCTGAAATCCTCCATAAAAGGTTTATATATATTGCATTTATATTGATTATAACTTGCCTGCTGTTCAAGAATGTACTTTCTAGTGGGCATAGCGTTGAATGGATCTCAAAAGTAGAGCCTCTGGAGGAGTAGGTACGATCATTTACCCAATACATAGCTTTCTGCTTCAATTCCCGAATCCCTTAAACGTAGTACACTGAGGTAAACATCTCAAACGCCAGTATACGTACACATAAACTCGTTAGACTGCGCTTGACCATAAGTGCTTGACCATGTGCCAGTGTTCACCGAACTGTTGCTCCGTGTTCTATCCGCTATGGTGCATTATTTTAGGTGCTCTCGGGGTAGTGGGAGGAATAATTCTGGCATGTTTGCACAGCTATGAAAAGAATCGAGGAGTTGCCATTACCTGCAAGCTCCTGATAATTGTCACTAGCCTAACCTACATAATTGCTGGAATACTTATGATGCTTGGCGCTAAAAGGGCAAGTACAAAGTATGCCTTCCCAGGCGGAATTATTTTTAGTACGATTATTGCAGCAGGACAAGGAAGTACTGTTCAAAGTCGGAAAATGCCTAAGCTATATTTATCCGATTTCGTCTGCATTAGCTTTATACCCGATAAGTAAGCCACTGTTTCACTTGGGAACCTATTTACTCCTTGTTTTACTCCGCTTTCAGTTGTCCACATTGTCGCCATGACATATCTGTGCACCTATCAGAAGAATCGCTGGGGATAGTTACTGCCTTTTTTCATTTGGACTTGAAAGCTGCCTTTGCTCACAAGTTTTTCCACATTGCTTACCGATCACAGATAGGTCCGGAATGATTTTTATCCTATTGTAAATGAGCAATAAATTAATCGTAGCACCTTTGAAAGCAACTTCATTAAACATATTCAGCAATAAGAGTTCATTTATATAGCTTGTCCACTACTCGGTCGCCTAATGTGTAGGGTCCCGTCGGTATCCCCCGAGCTCTGCACCCGCTTCTATGCAACATGGTGCTTAGTCTGGGGCTCCTTGTTCGGATTCGGTTACTCCTTCGTGCTCCTTGCCGATCTGCTTGAAGTTGAATCAGCTGGAAGAAATGACCTGCTCCAAAGGACAATCAGGGCGGTTATTGCTGGTTTGGGATTTTCCTATCTTTTGGCGGGAATTTTATTGACGCTTGGAATAAAATACGTCAGTAATTTCAGGGAATTCTGGCATAAATAGTATATATAAATATTATTTTATAGAATAAGCCGTTTGTGTTCAAATGTGGAAAGTTATTGTGCCTAATATTTGCAATTTGTTCACTGCCGACTGTAATATTTCCTGGTAAGAACGAGAAAGGATTCCTTAGTTTTACATATTCAGTATTTATGTTCACCTATTGATTAGTTCTGCTAACTCTTAAATATTCCCTCAACTTTAGTTGTGCATTTCTGCAGCGTTTCCTGCTTGTGTCAGTATATGAAGGATGTATGGAACATAAGCTAAATATTATCTTTAAGACGAATAGAACAATGGATCACATTTTAAAGTAAGATATACAAGTGTGCCCATTCGATTGGAGGCGAATCCATTCCGCGTTCATCAGGTGGTCGGCTGGTGCCTTGCATGCGGACTGCTCCAATCTGGAATCGAAGCCATTACAATCGGAGGTCGTGTCTGTTCAATTGGAGTTGTCGTAAACGCGAGTCGGCATTAAGGTCTGTTGCCCCTCCGCCGAGGGGAGCAACTTGAGCAAATGCAAATATCATAATTTCCGACAGCACATCTGCAAGGTATCAGGCGGGGGGAGTAGGCCACAAATAAGGCCCCACCTCCGGATCCACCTCCGTATCCACCTCCGTATCCACCTCCACTTTCAGAGTCCAGGCCACCGTTACGAGGGCAGGACAAATAAAATTGTTTCGTCACGCCACCGCGAAGGTTGCCAGCCGCTGTCGGAATGAGGCTGGCACACGCAAGACCAGACCAACCGCCAACCGCCTGGAACCACCCACATGCAGCCACGGATCCATCCATCCAACCATCCATTCATCCATCCCCCAGCCCTAACCCACTTTCCCTCACGTGCTCCACCTTTACGACCTGCTCAAACATCAAGCTTATTTATTTACTCTAAAAACAATACCGGAAAATTAATAGCAATTTGTTGGGGTTCATAAATTTGTCGAAATAAATGTCCTTAACTGGCGTATGTATTTCCCATACCAGCCGAACACCCAAATGGGAAGGAGGGGGCCTTTTGCTGGTGGTGCCTCCAAATGAGTTTCACCTGGTGCAAATCGATTGCCTGGCTCCGCCGTTGGCCTTCCCTTATCAGCTGGGCTCGGGTGCGTGACTCTCCGTCCGGAGTTGGGTTTTAATTTTGATGACTTCAATTAACTGCGTGTAAATGCGGTGGAACTGCCGTTTCAGCGATTCAAAGCCTATCCAAAAGCCTGACGAATATGCATCGGAATGGAGGGCATACAGGTATATAAGATCAAATTGTTTTATGTTAATTTGGAATTGAGTTTTTAAGTCCAAGCTTTATTAGTTCAAACATATTAGCACTCAAAATAATGCCCTTTAATCACTACAAACAAATAATTTCTATGATCAAAGTCTTATATGGCAAAATGTGTATGCTAGTATTTCTTTCATAATAGGAAACTTATATTCTGCGGTATCCAAAGGATATTGTGGTGTTTTCCGAGTGCTCAGAAGGGTTTGTTGAGATATTAATGAAACTTTATTGAAGTTTATTGCTGCTTGTCAGCGCATGTAAACTGGTATACAAAGTAAAGAAAAGCCGGAACCCCTGAGTTGCAGCTTGTGATGGGGTGATGGTGATGGGCGCCATGGGCTGAGGTCTAGAACCGAGCCAAGTTGGGTCAAATGCAAAGTGAAGGCACATTATTTAGTTGCTCAACGACAACCGTCGCGTACAGACGTCAATTTTTGGATACGGAGTGCAGAAGTCTCAGACTTGAAGGGTGGAAAATGTGAAACTACGGCGTTGCAGTACACGATCCCAATAACCTCCCATAACCACTTATTGGGTTTAAAATGCCGCGCAAGAAACCGAAGGTGGACACCCTCGAAGAGATCGAGACCAATATAAAACTGCTATGCGATCAGTCCAATAACCACATGAAAGTTCGGGCGTACGAAAAGGCTCTCTTCGGTTACAACCAGGTGTGTTGGGAAACCTATAAGCAACTGTAGCATATTCCGGAACACTAAGCAAGTTAAGACTATGCTAATTACTTCTAGTTAGCTAATAGTAATGACTTACTTCTAATGACTTCTGTAAGAAATTATTACCATCTAAAAATTGGTTGACATTAGTCTTACCATCCAGATTATAATTGTTACTAATATAGAGTTTCATTAATCCAAAGAACATTTAATGCAGACATATAACACCACAACGATACACAATTATTTTAAGATGCTATTGCCTTTTTTAAATAGGTATATAATTCTGTAAGTTTTAATTATTTTAAAGTAGTAAGTGCAGTTTTATACAATTTCATAATGTTCTGAAAGTTCATAAAAGTAAGTTACGATACTTTACGTGAGTTTCTTCTTAATGTTGAATCGTTTAAAGTTCTGTTTCTGAACAAGGATATTCACTTGGCGGGAAAGGACACCCACTGAAAGCTCATAAAAGCTTGCCAAAGGTTCTAGTTCACAACAAAGGAGCACAGTTTGACATTCCCAGTGCTCTCTAACTGTAGACCTGTAGAGCAAGGCCAAAATATGCTTAGAAAGGCACTTTTTCTGTAGTGAGGGTGATTTTAAGTTTTAGTTTTTTTTAATTATTATAATTCTAAATTCTATTCTAAAGCTGGTATGCCAGTATACTTCCGATTCCGCTTGGCAAACAAATTACAAGCTGATAAAACCGTTCATACTTTATTAACTGTTACTCATATAGGAAATACTTCAATATTATTTTCTTTTTATTTAATTGTTAATTAGTTATTCGTAACAGCAATTACAAGTCGCCCTTGAAACATAACCAAAAGTTACTCATAAAGTAAGCCAGGTTTGGTTAACAAACCCAATTTAAAGCAGTTTAAAATATGATCATCTCGGGGACCTTTGAGTGTAGATATTCGATATGGATACCCAGCTTCACCTTCTAATAGGGCGTCCCCAAGGTCGTGACCCACATGGAGGCCATTGTTCTTGGCATTCACACCGCCAAACGACACGACACCTGGTGCCTGACACCTGATATGTAGCACCTGGCACAGCAGGCATGGTTGTTTTGTTATCGATTGGTAACCCATTTGGAGGCGCCAGTTTCCTGGCAACAGGCCATCAGTGCTCCAATCAATCGGCGAGTGAGTTGGTCAGAAGCTAGGTTTTTGAACATTACTCCAATCGTCGGACGTTGGAGATCCCCCCAGCGATTGCCAAGGATATTATACGGACATGTCGAACGTGCTGAACACCATCCTTGCTGTGGACAAGGAGCAGGAGCTGCTGCAGAGCTTCATACGCACCGGAGCAGCGGCGGAGGAGGAGTCCCAGGACGAGAGCAATCGCCGCTCCAAGGGTCGCTCCCACAAGACACCCATCTGGGAGAGGCGTGAGTCCACGGATCGGGGCGGACGCGGTGCTGGACGGGATGGAAAGCAGGGAGATGACGGAGGAGCTGGTGGAGGCGCTGGTGGCGACGCTGCGGGCGGCAAGCGGGGCAATCGCATCGAGGCCGAGCTTAGGGCCGCACGCAAAAAGATCGAGGAGCAGATCGCCAAGAAGAAAAAGCCCAAGGAGAACTTCGTCGACTTCTACACGGACAAGGATCGGGCGGCAGCGGTCAGCGCTGGAGCCTTTGATATCAAGCAGAGTCTCCAGATCAAGCAGAAACAGGACCGCAACGAGGCACTGCTCATCCCGGACGAGGCGGACATCAGTTCAGTGATCGCACTGGGCCTCAAGGAGATCAAGAACGCCAATCCCGAGAACGCCATACACTTTTTCTGCAAGGTGCTCCTTGGTTCTCTTATAAGGATAAGGGTTATTCTGATTTTCAGGGTCATTTAGCTTAGCCCAAGCAGAGTTTCTCCTTTCAACCTGAATTTGGCACACTTAATAAGTTCCTAAGTTCTCGTATATTTTAGAAGAATCCTCTACTAATGCTTTGAAAAGTAGCTAACACAACCATAACATTTCAGGCTCTGGAGCTGAATAGCACCGACATCAACGCTTTGATTTCGCGTAGCAAGTGCTACTTGTTGCTGGGCGAGGCTTCCAAGGCTCTGCAGGATGCGGAGACGGCTCTTGGGGAGGACAAGAACAACATTCGAGCCATCTACCAGAAGGCGGAGTCGCTGTACTACCTCGGCCAGTTCGAGCAGAGCCTGATGTTCTTCCATCGCGGATTGAGGGCCCGTCCGGAACTGGCATTGTTCCGCCTGGGCGTGCAGAAAACTCAGGAGGCCATTGAGAATACCATCGGCAGCAAGCCGGCTCCACCAGGACCAGCCGCATCTGTGCCCAAGAGTGGCAAGCCACGAAAGTCCGGCGAGGATACACCGAAGTCCCAGGCAGCAGGAGCTGCGGGAACCAGTGCCAGGACGCGCCAGAAACCCAGTCGAGCGGATCTGGAGCGACGCAACGCGCGCAAGCTGCTGGGCGAACTGTGCGTGGACAAGGAATACCTGGAGAAGCTGCTGCTCCATCCGGACTTGGTGCGCGCGGACACACACACGGAGAGTATCTCCGCCTACGCCCGCGAGGCGGTGGAGTTCCTCAACAAACGGCAGGAGTTCTGGCGCCAACAGCGTCCCTGCACGGCGCTGCCCAACCACAAGAACCTGCCCCATGACGCTCTGCCCAAGTGGTTCTAGTGGTGCCAGCTACCTATTACTACTGACATGTTCCGCTTTCGGTGTTAAGTTTCTGTTTGAATTGAGTTTGCTGGATGAGCTGAAATTGAGTAAATAAATCAATTAATTACGAAAACTCTCAGATACTATTACATTTTTATTTGACATTTGAGTTTTGGATTGAGTTTTTATTAATTTCCAACTTAGACGCAATGCTTTTAGCGAATATTCATGTGGAGCAGCGGCTACGGCTTTTGTAGGCCAACTGTTTTACTTTGTTGTTGCTACTTGGTTAATCTTAGGCGTAACTTCAACTTTTGAACAGAGCAATTGGAATTTCTCAATTACATTGATATATATTTGCAGTCAACCGAAACATAAATGTGGATGTAGCCTCAAATTGACGGAATACAACGATAGTTTAACAATGTGGAATAATATGTAATTTGTCTCAATAGTTGTTCAATAACAATGGATATATGTGTTTGGGTATGTCGCTCATATTGGAATCTTTTACAGAGTTCGATTGCTGCTTCAGTGTTTATAATTTTATTTCATAATTTGACTAGTACGGCTATAATTCATTTAAACATTACAATTATGCAGATTAGTGTAATACTTTGTCGCCCATATACTTCATTATTTCATTTCTTCGTCCTCGGC